GAGCTCAATCCAATAGAGCATCTTTGGGATGTGGTGGAACGGGAGATTCGCATCATGGATGTGCAGCCGACAAATCTGCGGCAACTGTGTGATGCCATCATGTCAATATGGACCAAACTCCCTGAGGAATGCTTCCAGCACCTTGTTGAATCTATGCCACGAAGAATTGAGGCAGTTCTGAAGGCAAAAGGGGTCCAACCCGTTACTAGCTCTCTCTCTGCACAGAGAGCAGCATCATAATTTACATCCACTTCATTGAAGCAAAGTCTGACAGTACGTCAGAGCGACATACCCTGTCTATTAGTGCGAGTTCACATCTTTACATTGGAAATTATAACTGTTACACTTGTTCCATCATCGTTGTAATAATGCAATAACCGAAAAGGTTTAGTTATATCTTATACATCAATTTAATAATGTGTGAAAGTTTTTTGGTTTATTCAGTTAGTATACCGTAAATTCTCTAATATTGGCCTGTATTCCATTAGCGGCCGGGACTCTAACATTGGCCGGTCTCGCTGTAAGAGGAGGTAAATAATGACCGGTCTCTAATACAGGCCGGGGCTCTAAACGTTTTTTCTGGGCATACCTCAACATTATACTTGTGGTAGTAACATACAAGTACCACAGCCATGCGCTGCTGGACGACAGGCCCTGACTGCTGCCCGTCTGCGCGAGGAAGAGAACAGACACGCAGCAGAACATGAGGAGGAGCGCGAGTGATGAGGAGATTAAAGGGAGAGATGAAGAGGAGGAGGAAACTGAGGAGGAGGATTAAACAGAATTGGAGGATTTTTTTTTCTTTTTTACTTCAAACCAAGCGAGACATTGTAACTGTACTTTTTCAATAAATGAACCTAGTGTTTTATAGGTTCAAATAGACACAAAATCTCATTTTTATTCATTCCACTGGTAGTCTGTTTTGCTCAAATAGCAATAGAGGCCTGTCTCTAATTCTGGCCCCCTTCCAATAAAGGCCTGGACCGCGATGCATTTGAGTGAAATAAAGGCCCGGGCCTATATTAGAGGATTTACGGTATAATACAGTTGGCACAATCAATTCTTAAATCGTATTGATGCAGTATTACTTTTAAATTTGTAAAGAGAAAACTTTTCTTTCCAAATGGCAGCTTATCGGTTAATCATTAATGAATGGATAAGTTCAATCAACTTTAGATAATTTCATTAATCAATACTTTGAATCCCTAGTAGGAAACATTTTTTATTTCAACCATATTTGTAGATTAAATCAATTTTCTGTTCCTTTCGAAACAAGACAGCACAGAAATCTGAATACATTACATCTAGAGAAAGTAATCCAGAAAACAATCCGAAGCCCTTTATTTCATGACTGTAAAAGAGGTATTTATTTTATTACAGTGGTGAGATAAAAAGAGTCATAAATCACAGACGTGGAAACAGAACGTTGTTGTGGTGGCATTACGCCAAAAGGCAGCAAAACCAGCAAAAGGTTCATTCACCGGGAAACAAAATGTCAGCATAAGGAACATGGGTGAGAAGAAGCTAAAGAAGTTAATTTGACAGAAGGATTTATAGCCATGTCAAAAAGTTAGTTTTCTTAATAAAATAAAATTCTTTTTTAGCTTTCATTTTCTTCTCATGTCTGACCTGTAAAATGAATAAATGTCCCATTCTGTTTGTTTTAACCAAAACCATTTCATAACTGACCCATTCACTGCGATTGGCATTAATCTAAAATCAGGGTTTGCTCATTCCAATAACCGCTGATGGTGGCAGCTGCAAATAAAGGTGCATAAATGGCAGAGCTAACTGGTGGGTAGAAGTCCCCCCAACTCAAACAGCTGGAGAGATCTAAGTGTTCTAGATGCTCAAAGGAGCACTTTCCCAGATCCTTCCAGCTACCGTTAGACTTTATCACCTCAGTTGCAGTCAAATAAACTTAAAACGTGTGAACAAGCATGCTACTGGTTCCACAGGTTATTGATCTGATCTAGAATCATTTACTCTCTCTCTCAGGTGCTAATGTCTATTTGCACATCTTTTTCTCATCGTCTCTGGGAGCTTTTTGGTTTTTCCAAAGAGCTGCTTGTTGTGTTTATTTTTTGCACTATTCTATGAATAGGTTTTTACTTTTACTTAACTTAAAAGCTGCATTTTGAAAGAAATGCACAGTTTTATATAGTGATTGCTGCAAATCATTTTCCACTTTCTGATAAGTCATTTCTTTTTGATTTGTCCCCACATTTTTACCAATATTTATTTTTTTGTGACAATAAAAGTATTTCTATTCTATTCAATTCCACCATAAGGCTGTCTACTTGCTTATAATTTCTGTATATATATACAATATACAAATATATTTATAAATATATGTATATATAAACCTGGCTATAAATCATCAGTAAAGATGTAATTAGACTATTCCTTTCTAGTCTACACTGTTTTTTGTTTATCTAGGGTTATATATAAATCTGTGACTTAAACTTAAACAATTAGTTTCACCTTAAAAGTGAAAAAGAAGAAGAAAAGGAAAATAAAAAGGGATCTTCTAAACAAAAACAAGTGATTGAGTTTACAGACAATTCTGTTTATTCATTTTATATTCACGTTCCTGTTGTGAAACCAAAGCCATCTGTTTAAATAAATGATTTTCAGAAGTGAGCAAAAACCAACCTTAAAGACTTTCCCGAAGGCTCCATCTCCCAGTTCTCCCACTATCTCCCAGATCTCCTCCGGATTCTCATCTCTGCGCACATGTTCATACTGCTTCTTCTTCTTTTCTGCTCCCAGCTTAAATATCTTACGGAAATTAAAAAACGACATGATGTCTTCTGGTTGAAAGTTGATAAAGCAGTGAGAATTGAGCAGGTTGTAGTTTTAAAGCCCCTCCATTAGGCAGATAAAGTCCGCTTCCATGAGCTCAGATCAACCCTTAGCTTAGCCTTTGACTCCAGTCTGCCCACTGCCCACTCCACGCATCTGATAAACACATCCAATAATAATCCTATCAAACTCTACCGTCTCACAACATTCAAAGACTGAATAAATTCGTGTTCTCTCCTCTCTCTGCCAAGAACTTGCTGTTTCTGGAAGCTCGTCGTTGTTCCAACTGGCTCGATACCAGTCCAGTCTGTCTGCTGGCTCTTTCTTCAACAAAAACACACACAAAAGAAAATAAAAACGGGCTCTATCCGAATCCTAACGCTGTTTCCGACGGAGCACGGCGTTACCAGCTAAAAGGAAGCCAGAGGCCGTAGTTTATCCGCGGTTTGGTGATCATTAAAACCGTTAAAACGCTCCTCTTTTCCCGGAGCGGGACTGGCTGCCTCCTCGTAGCGGATTTACTGACCCTCTCCGCGTCCACGGCACAGACACAGGGGCGCGTGCACGCGGGAGCCGTGACAGTTGAGAGGAAACAACCTGGATGTCTGCTGCCCTCAGCTGACAGGGGAGACCAACAAATGTACTACAGCTGTCTGAATTATCAATTTCGGACACTAAATACAAATGTATCGTTATCGTTTTATAACGGTCTATTTGAGGAGCTTCTTTGTGTCGGTAAAACCTTGGGTGAAACTACGACTGCCATACTTTATCTAGATACTACGGTAGAATTTTTGGGCCACTGAAAAAATAAAAACAGTCAACTAATTTTTACATTTTATTTCAGTATAATATAAGAACAAGTCAGAATTCTGAAAAAGTCATAATGCAGAGATTAAAGTCAGAATTCTGACTTTTCCCCCATATTAAACAGAAATAATATTTAAAAATCAGTTCAATTTCTTTTTATTTTGTCATTGGCCCTAATCCTCTTCATTACTATACATATGCGCTTAAAGAAACATAATTTATATATTGTTAAATATTGCAAATCTAACTTATTGCAATACATTACCACAAATACCTAAATAAACTACCGGTAGTTATTGTTGGGGGGGGGGGGGACCTTTTGTGATTGAGTCAAGATATAAAGCGAGCGTCCAGTGTGTTACGTCAGCGCTACCACCATATTGTGACTGGCGTTTGGTTGACAGAAGCTGAAAAAGCCTAAAAAAAAAAGTACGGTGGCCTGGAGGTACAAAGGGCTTACTTGTTAACTGAAGTTAATTAAATACAGAAATTGTGTACTATGTAATATTTATCATAAATTATTTTTTGGTTTATGTTATAAACCAAAAAATGTATGATTATAAATCGGTCAAGAAATGTTTCACTGTTTTTAATGCGGCACTATAACAGCAATGACTTGTGCAATATAGAATCAGAATCAGAATCAAGTTTATTGCCAAGTAGGTTTGCACTTACAAGGAATTTGACTTGGTATTGTTGGTGCAGACAAAAAACAAAATAAGATAGAATAGTAAAACAAAACTAAAAAAAGTGCGCACCAACACACCGTGGCTGCCGTCTGCGGCGCCATCTTATATAGGTAAATACCCTGTGTAATAACTATAGATATATAAATACCCATCTATATAGATACCCATTTAATAGTCTGTGCAATAACCCTACATAATAATCCTGTTTAAATAAAGATTTCAGCTGTTTTATATATATTTGCAATTATAACATTAGCAGTATTAACATTATTATTATTAACAAAATACATTTTGTTATTATGATATTATTAAACCGTTTAAATCAACAGTTTCACCACCACTTTCACCACCACTTTTAAAATATATGTTCTACTAGAAAAATTTCTATATTTTGAAAAAAAATATTTGACATAAAAAATTTTTACTTTCACACGGTTTCTAATTAAATGCAAAAGAAAGGTTTTAATGAGCCTGTTTGGTTTATTTTGAAGGGTTAAAAAAAAGTCTAAGCTTATTATAAGAACTTATTTTTTCTATACTTTATTTCGATTCACATATTATTTTTTCAAAAGATTAAGAATGATTCTAACATTATAAATCATTTTGCCCGGTTAAAAATAACCGCTTCCTGGTATTTGGCTGTAAACGCGCCACTCACAACATGGCGGACACGCAGTGTTCCTACTGGGCGTCCATCTACACACGTGACTTTCTCCGGGCGCCAGCTTGCCATAGTGAAACCAACATAAGTTTGAGCAACAGGAATGTGAAATCGGCCGTTTAAAGGGAAATCTGGTTCCATGATGAAATGCAGGCAGCTGCGATGGATCCAGCCGAGGAGCCCCCGTCCATCTTATGGGGACTCGACCCGGTTTTCTCTGCATTTGCTCGGCTTTTTGTCAGAGACATCCTGCAGATGACCGAGTCCATACAGGTTCCAGGTAAAGGCAACCATCTGACCTCAACATCTGCCTGGTAACTAATGGCAACCTTTAAACCACGTTCAATATGTGATCGAGTAGTTTTTAGCTTTCTGTTTCAGCCACTGTCAGTTCAGATTAGGGTTAATCTACTCTGATTCTACACACCACGGATCCAGCATATCTAATCTGATAAAGGAATACCTTGGTTCTCCACCATAGGTGGGAATGTGCAGATCTAAGTCAGATTTTGTCTGGAAGGATAGGAAGAAACCACATGCTTCTCCTCCTCCTGTCCTTGTTGCCCAGAAGTCTTCTATTATTAAAGTGGAAACACAGTCAAACCCACCTGCTGCAACTGCTGAACAAGCTCTGCACTGGTGGTGACTTGATTCTGTAGTAACGCCCTGTAATGAAGCTCAGGGGCGGATTTAGGAAATTTGGGGCCCTAGGCAAAGACAGGCATGGGGCCCTCTGAATTGAGAAGACAACGCTTAAAGCCAAGCTTACACTGTTTGATGGTGCATTGTGCATTGTATTGTGTACAGGGAATTACAAGCGGCGATCAGATTCCACGACCACCTCCCGATCAGGAATGGTGAGGTTGGAGAGAATCAAGCATGTTTGATTTTTTTTTTCTTTCGACCGCCGTGTGTGAGTGAAATGGAGTTCTTTCTGTAAAATTGACAGACCGTAGTAGCCATCTTTGCTCAGCCATGTCTTTGTCCAAATATGTCGTCGCCTTTTCTTTTTAGGGCTTTCAGCACAAAATTGCACAAATTACCAAGGCAGCACGTTTCACTCTAGTGAGCTTCATATTCCTCTTCTACTGGTTTGGCTTCAGGACAGACAAGTCCCAGTAGCGCCATCTCACTGCGAAGCTGAGTCCGACGTTGTTTTTAGAGCAGGTAGAGATTGGTAGATCGCATCAGAGCATCGTGTCGAACATACATCGTGAGCTGTGAACTCGCATGTACAACAAAACCGCAGGGTTTCTTCGTACAGTGTGAGCTGTAGCTGCGTGCAACGATTGAAAAAAAAACGCACAGTGTATGCCTGGCTTTAAAATTTTATAGATTTAATATTTGTTCTAGGTTTTGTCCCTCTCCTCTTATCCCTTTTCTTGCTGTTTTCCTCTCTCTGTTTTCTGATGTCTTTTCTTTTCATATTGGCAATGTGCTCAGCTTACTTTTCATGATGTCTCAAAAGGAATCAAAGATTTTCCATCACTAAGCCCATTCTAACTTAGCTGATTGCTCCTTCCTGTGTTTTAAAAAAAGGCAACGGCAAAAGAAAATAACCAGTCCTTCTTTTCACTGTAGACAAGCCATGATCTGCTTATCTGTTCTCCATTTTTCATTTGGATGAAATATTGGCTGCATGAATCATGACAGCAGACAAGATAGAGGAGAGCAGGAGGCGGGGTTACCAATCTACTTGCTCTGGAGAGCAGAGTTTGCTGCTTTTAAAGTCTTCAGTAGCAGGAAAAAGTTGCTAGATTTGGTACTAATTGCTTTTTTGTAATAAAAATACTAGAGGCATCTGAAAACTTGCTTAATATGGCGACAAAAGTGCTAAGTTGGCAACACTGCTGTTCCCGCCTTTTCTTTTCTAAGGGTTTGCTGCTGTCTGTTTGGACCTTCCTGAACATGTGCAGCAAATGGACTGACCCAATATGGTGGACACTGAAGGGGGGTGCTGAGACACACTCAATACTATAAGCGTTCTGATAGCGCAGGGGTAACCAATTAAAAATCAGCGGGGTCTGAATAAAGAAAATCATCAACCAGTAAAGACATTTTTAATTATAATCTGTTACTGTAAACAGAATTTAACACTGAAATAAAATGAGGTGTTTGTGCATCCACGTTATACATTGAATTTGAAAATATAAAATATATTAAAAAAAATTGAAAAACTTTCCATTTTAAAATCTTACGGGTTTTTGAAGTCGAGAACAACAGTTGTTCAGTTCGGTATATAGACATTTTCCTAATTCACTTTTTTTTTAAATATAAAAACTTAAACTGGCTGTTATTTTTCTTTCTCTTTTATGCTTTAATGAGAGCAGTGGGCTTTAGGCTGCCCTGCAAGGCTTTAAACCTGGGTTTGAATGGAGACTAAGCCATTCTCAAGCACATATCAAGGTGCTCATATTGAGCCTGGATCCATATTTATTTTTGATTCTGTTCATGGTGGAGAATCCTGCTTCACAGCAGCAGGTTGAGCCAAACATCCTCTAAATGTGCAGCGTCATCTTTGAGCACCATTTAACTTTTCTTTCACCAGTTCACCGCAGTTCTTCCAGCAGTCCACACTTTCTCTGCTCTCTTTTTCTCATCATCTTCTCCTTCTTTCCCATCGCCCGGCTTGCCACAGGTTTGCTGCTGTGTCTTAACCCTCTGGTGCATAGTGGTCACTGTAGTGGACAGCTACTACAAAGTAAATATCTCTTTAATTCTATGGTTTCTATAGTGAAACCTTACCGTCCAGCAAACACATATAGGCTCCCCATTGTAAGACCCTTCCTAAGTACACTTCAGGAGACATTCAAGGCAGCAGCAGATCCTGAGGAATTTCAGTCACTTCAGTAAGCTATGAGTGTCATTGATTTCCTTATTCGTTTCTTAACATTGTGCCTTTATAATGTAAAAAATTAAACAAAACATGTTGAAATATTTTTCAAAGCATAAAATGAATCAATGGTCTGCATTTTTTACAACAGAATACTAGATCATTATTTTTTTTTTATAAATTCATAATATTTTATATTGAGTTTTCATGTGCACATAGTCCACTCCAGTGGACATATCTGTAACTTCATGAAACAACAATATTTTTGGGAAAAAAAAGTTAAAAATCTTTTTTCATGTCCTAAGAATAAGAAAAAACCTTGAGAAAAAAAAATCTTGATCAAGGCTTTCATAATTCATGCATCAGAGGGTTAAAGTAGCAGCAGCAGCAACCCAGACTGACAGCAGCTCATTGGATCATTTGAATCACTTGTAGCCTGGTGCCGGACACTCAGGAGGGCTTTACCGTATTAACAGGAGAAGCGGTGCAAGTGACATTAGACACTATTGTCAGACAACATGCCGTAATTTAAATGTTTTAAATCAGGTTGGGTCTGGATTAGCCAGCAGGTGGGTCTTGACCATTGAAGTGGAGTTTTAGATGCAACTTTAAGAGACCATTTCAAATTGTACTAATTGTTACTTAATATGTTAAAATACCCAAGTTCACACCAGATAAGCCGGTTAAGTAATTAATTTCTGTTGCTGTTTACTTTTTATAGGCATCTATTTCTACAACTTTCACCCGATCTACAAAGTGGATGTTCTTGGAACGGTTGTTTACAAGAGGGAGAGAGACGACTTCTTCTGTTATGGAGGTACTGACGCATCCTCTGTGAGATCTACTGTGGAAATTTGACTATTCAGTGTTTTTATTTTGGGAAATCTCAGAATCCATCAGTACCATGATGGTATCATATACTTTATGGCTGCCTGTCGTCAAACTAATGCTTGAATATTTTGTGTCCACAGTGGATGATGGTACGGGTGTTATAAACTGTCTGTGCTGGAAAAGTAAGCTGCTGAAAGAGGAAGAGGATCCCAATAAATGTCGGTCTAAAAGTGCCTTTAAAATCACTTGTGTGGAGAACTTTAACGCGGATGTTTATCAGATGCTCTTTAATTCTGTGGTGTTTTTATGTTAAGCAGGGACTAAACACAGTGATGCAGACTTTGGAGGGTTCAATCCGGTGGCCGAGCTCAGGAAACTGCGAGAGGCCCAGCAGAGGCGCTGCCGCCTGGACATCGGAGAGCTGATCAGGGTTCGAGGACCGGTGAAGACGTCGAGGCAGCAGAGGGAGATAATGGCTTCCACCTTCTGTGAGTGTCTTCCGCAGACCGCTTACACAGATATAAACACTTCAGTTAAAAAAGTGCAGATGTATTTCAGATGGATCGTTTATTATAAAGCACCTTCACATGATTTCAACTCAAAACACGTTTAGATACTAGTGTTGCACCGATGCCATTTGTTGGCCCCGATACCAATACCTGGCTGTGCAGTATCGGCCGATACCGATAACATCTGTTTGAAATTGATGTGTGTGTATATATGAAGAACTGCGTACTACTTTGATGTAAAGTAATTACCATCATGGCTTTGTCAAGCTGCTGCCTACCTTTGTGAAGCAGGAAACCGATTAATACACCGATACCACCCGATACTGCTATCGGTATCGGTGCAACACTATTAGATACATGATTAGATAATTAGTAAAATATAAGTAATAAGTAAAATGATGCAGAGAGCAAAATGGCACACGGCGTAATAAAGTTAGTTACGATCTAATAAATGTAAATAATTATAAATATGAAATATTAATTTGATTAGTGTGTATAGTTTAATATTTTTTAATAATCCAATTTTAATAAAGTATATATTTGAGCATTTGATCTGTTTAACCTGAAAGCACATGAATGAATAAAGTTTCAGAAATATAAACAAAATGATAAAATCCTTCTAATTTATCTCAGGATTAGTCAATTTGAGAAAATACAGAAATTGAACTCTTCTAATGGGTTGTGGTTAATTTCCATAATTTTATATCTGTATAAAGTTTTTTTTACAATCAATTATGTACTTAAATATTTATTTGTCAGGCTTTTAGAATTAAGAAAATTAAAATCTGAAAATTTTTATAATGTAAAAAAAAACTGAAGGTAGTTAAATCATTTTATTTGATGATTTAGAATTAAACATTTTCTGGGAATATAAAACAGCTAAGGGTTTAATGTAAGTAAAATAAATCGATTTGAAGTATAGTCAACTATTTTATTCGATTATTGAACTTCATGGAAACTTGATTTAGTTAAGGTACATGCAACAAATCAATTTCAATAAACTAATATTTTATGTACTTGCATTTAATTTGGTTATTCAGTTTAAATCAGATATAGTCTCTATGTCAGATATGTTATATATAATTATTTCCTAATATATAGGTTTCAATCAGAACAAAATGTAAAAAAAAAATAAAGTCAAACTAAATACACACTTGGTTAATAATTCATTTAAATAACCTAAGGTACATATGTTATATTACATATTTTCTTTTTTATTTGATAAAAGTCCATTAGAATATATGACATTAGATTTTGGTCTTTATGTTGATAAAGAAGTATGGAGGGAATTTTGTTCCATATTGTTTTAACCAAAGAACAAGTTTTGTAAATTACAATTTGAAAAAAAAGCAACCCAGAACAAAACTTTGAAGAAAAAAAATTCTAAACAAAAAAATAAATGGTTTTGAAAGTAATTTTGCTGTTTTTGATATGTTTTATATTCTTTATTTTTCACATTTTAGGTTTATGAATTGCCTTCTTTTTAATTTGTGTTTTACAGATCACATTCTCTTAAATTCAAGTTACTTAAAGTTATTTTGAAAGTGACACTTTAACAAATACAGAAATACGTATTTTCTGCTCACTCCAGCGGAAGGGCCGCCCCCAGCAGTGAAGAGAATCTGACCTATAAAACTCAGTTAGAAAAGAATGCAGTTTGTAAAACTCAATCTAAAACAGGGAAATAAAAATAATAATAATAAAAAAAAAACTATTAATCCATTCACAATACATATTATCTGCTTGCAAAAATAATGGAACAAATTTCACTCCATAGTTCCAGGAGAGATAACCTGATTAATCTGCTGGAACTCACACTGTGTTACATTAGAACCTAATGAAAAACCCAGCATTTTAGGAAGACCTTCAGTAACCCCAAACTCTAAATCCAAGATGGCTGCCTCTCATATAAAAAGCATTTTTTGTACCTCTGTCATTTTGAATCACAAACCCAGAAATAAAACACCAAATATGAAGATATTTAATGCTCTTTGTGGACTCAACTTTTTTGTTTTTTTTTGTTTTAGAAGAGCTACATGTGTTTGCATCCGTATGTTTGCAGATAAGGTGGACGATCCGGTCATGGCGGTCCAGATAGCCTGGATGATGGAGGTTCCTCAGCTCTACAGACAGTTTTATGACAAACGCTTCGAGCTCAACGCAGCAGGGTACAGAAATCCACCCTTTAATGCCGATAACCTCCCCCTCAGATCCTTGAACAAAATTCAGTAACCATTCATTCATGTTACAGCTGGAAACAGTTTATAGCAGTCTTTATCCATTCCTCGTTAGATAAAAATGTCTAAAATTTTCTCTGATTGGGTTTAGTTCTGGACGGTGAACCTCCACCACCGTCTCAGCTCTTCTGTGACATTCTGCCCTGTATTTAGCTCCACCCATCTCAACATAGACTTTCTTCATTTTCCCTGCCACCGCAGGATTATGCAGCCACCCCCATGTTTTACCATGGCTGGTGTGTTAATTACTGCAAGAAATGAAATTTTAGTGAGTCAATTTTTTTTAAAATAGCAGGTTAGTCAGACAATTGGCCAACAGAATAGGAGGATTTATATTTAACACAAGTAACACAACTGAATAAAATCCATTTATCTATTTTAAGGGGAAAACTAATTCCACTGGCAGACATTCTTATTTACCTGCTTGAATTAAGGACAAATAGACTTATTTCAAGACATTTTAAGTTGTTGCAGCGGTGCTATGCATTATTACTATTGTTGCCATTTTTTGGCCCTGATACCGATAGCCGATACCTGGCTGTGCAGTATCGGCCGATACAATCTGTTTGTAATTGATGTGTGTGTATATATGAAGAAATGCATACTACTTAGATGTAAAATAATTGCCATCATGGCTTTGTCAAGCTGCTTCCTACCTTTGTGAAGCAGGAAAAAAACGAATACAAAGTGAATCCAGTAGAACTTTTTATTTCCTACCTGGAATGGGCGACATTAGTTGAATAAACTTTTGGCTCTCAAAATGGTATCGGTGCCCTATTTGTTGGTACTCGCCACCAACAAAACACTAAAATGCCACCATTTTAGTGCTGTATTGTGGCCCCGCCCGATACTGATATCAGTGCAACATTAGTTATTAGTTTATAACTATAAAGGTAATGTCGTAATGTCTGTATGTTAGCAGGAATGTTCAGCTTTCGGCTTCATCGAGGGCCGTGCAGCCGAAAAATTTAAGCCTTTCAAATCAGTCGACATCGATAATTATGATTCTTTACTTTTTAGTAGCCTGGGACAAAAAAGGCTTAATTTAAAACTTTAACTAGAGATAGATCGATACTCTGGTACACCAATATTTATTTTTTTATTAGCTGATATTTGCAGGCGCCGACTAATTCATTAATGCATTTAGCAGCTGCTCTTCGAGGTCACGTGAACTACATGCATGGCTGCTCCCTCCATTTGTGATTTGTTAATAAATGTTTTATTTTGTTTATCCATTTGATATGGACATCACATATATATATAATTTCAATTCAATTCAATTCAGTTTATTTATATAGCGCCAAATTCACAACACATGTCATCTCAAGGCACTTTACAGTTCAACCAGATCATACAGTCAAATTGATACAAAGTTTTCTATCTAAGGAAAACCAGTTGATTGCATCGACTCATTGACTCAAATACAATCCCCCACACTAAGCATGCTTGTAGCGACAGTGGAGAGGAAAAACTCCCTTTTAACAGGAAGAAACCTCCAGCAGAACCAGGCTCAGTGTGAGCGGCCATCTGCCGAGGCCGACTGGGGTTCAAGGAGACAGAAGCAGAGATACAAAAAGCAGCTGTAAAAGGCGGCCCCGTCCAGGAAACACACAGCCAGGCAGACGAGCTCCAAGGCAGCTCCCATGTCAGAGGACGAAGAGAGCACATCCACTCAGTCACGGTCAGAGAAACAGGACCACACTGGAAAACAGGCCGATCTCCAACATCTATAAAAAAGGGTGTTGATAGAAGCAGCACAGCTGATGTTTCTTTCCAGGATGGCGTCACAGCCAAACAGGAACAGACGAGGCAAAGCTACTCTGAGGAAAAGCAGAGAGAGCAGAACGTTAGAGATTGAACTAACAGATTCTGCAGAATAGGAGAACAGAGAGAGAATGAAGCAGAATGATGAAATGGGGGTCCCTATGTCCTCCAAAAGTCTAAGCCTATAGCAGCATAACTATAGAGATAGCTCAGGATAACCTGAGCCACCCTAACTATAAGCTTTATCAAAAAGGAAAGTTTTAAGCCTAGCCTTAAAAGTAGACAGGGTGTCTGCCTCACGGACTAAAACTGGTAGTTGGTTCCACAGGAGAGGAGCCTGATAACTAAAAGATCTGCCTCCCATTCTACTTTTAGAAATTCTAGGAACCACTAGTAAACCTGCAGATTGAGAGCGAAGTGCTCTGTTAGGAACATAAGGAACAATCAGATCTCTGATATAAGATGGAGCTTGGCCATTTAAGGCTCTATATGTGAGAAGGAGGATTTTAAATTCTATTCTTGATTTAACAGGAAGCCAATGAAGAGAAGCCAGGATAGGCGAGATATGATCTCTCTTTTTAATTTTCATTAGAACTCTGGCTGCAGCATTTTGGATCAGCTGAAGGCTTTTAACTACAGTTTGTGGACTTCCTGATAGTAAAGAATTACAATAGTCCAGCCTTGAAGTAACAAATGCATGGACTAGTTTCTCAGCATCACCCCTGGACAGGAGATTTCTAATTTTTGCAATGTTCCTCAGATGAAAGAAGGAAATTCTAGAAACCTCTTTGATATGGGATTTAAATGACAGGTCCTGATCAAAAATAACACCAAGATTTTTTACTTTATTATCTGAAATCAGTTTAATCCCATCCAAATGAAGTGACTGGCTAATCAGTTTCTTTTTCAGAGACTCTGGTCCAAAGACTATAACTTCTGTTTTGTCTGCATTCAGGAGCAGAAAGTTAAGAGTCATCCAGGTTTTTATGTCTTCAAGACATGCCTGTAATCTATGTAATGGGTTGGCTTCATCTGGATTTATAGACAGATATAGCTGGGTATCATCAGCATAACAGTGGAAATTAATCCCATGCTGTCTAATCATTCTACCGATTGGGAGCATGTATAAAGTAAAGAGAATTGGTCCTAGCACTGATCCCTGTGGTACTCCACAGGTAACCTTTGAGCGTGTTGAAGATCTATCATTAACATGAACAAACTGAATTCGATCAGATAGATAAGATTTAAACCAGTCTAGTGCTGTTCCTTTAATTCCAACAAAATATTCAAGTCTTTCTAAAAGAATATTATGGTCAACTGTATCAAATGCAGCACTAAGATCTAACAGGACGAGCACAGATACAAGTCCATTATCTGAGGCCATGAGAATATCATTAGTGACTTTCACCAGAGCTGTTTCAGTGCTATGATGAGCTCTAAAGCCAGACTGAAACTCTTCAAAAAGTTCATTATGGTGGAAGTGATCGCAAACTTGTTTGGCAACTACTTTCTCAAGAATTTTGGATAAGAAAGGAAGATTGGATATAGGTCTATAATTGACCAAGTCATCTGGGTCAAGAGACGGTTTCTTAAGCAGAGGTTTAATTACAGCAACCTTAAAAGCTTTAGGTACATATCCCTGTAACAGAGATAGATTAATCACATCTAAAATGGAGGAGGAGATCAAAGGGAATACCTCCTTAAATAACCTGGTTGGAACTGGATCTAACATACAAGTTGAAGGCTTAGATGAAGACAATAATTTTGCTAATTCAGAGAGTTCAACTGGATCAAAGCAGTCTAAACCCGGTTCAGATTCCATGACTACCTCAGGTACAATCGCGGATAGAGGAGTGCTTATGATCTTATTTTTAATAAGATCAATCTTATTTATAAAGAATCCCATAAAATCATTGCTGCTAAGAGCAGGTGGAATGGACGGGTTAACAGAGCTATGGCTCTGGGTGAGTTTGGCAACTGTATTAAAAAGAAATCTAGGATTATTCTTATTCTCCTCTATTAATGAGGAGAAGTATGCTGCTCTTGCTTTACAAAGGGTCCTCTTATACAGCAGTAAACCATTTTTCCAGACTAGGAAGGACTCTCGCAGGCCTGTGGAGCGATATTTTCTCTCCAGTTTCCTAGCATTTTGCTTCAAAGTACGCAGCTCTGCATTAAACCAAGGAGCAAGCTTTCTATTTTTAATGGTTTTCATTTTCAAAGGAGCTGCGTTGTCTAAGGCAATACGCAGAGAACTAGCAACCCCATCAACAAAATCATCAACCTGTGAAGGGGAATAAGCTAAGCTTTTGCACTCTGCAGCACTGCTCAGTGACACAGAGGAGAGAGAAAGTGAAGCAGATTCTTTAAAATTTATAACTGCACTATCTGATAAAGATCTACTAAAATTGAACCTTCTTTTGGGGGAGGAGAACTCTGTTAAAGTAATCCTGAAGGTTATTGGAAAGTGGTCAGAGAGGACAGGGTTGTGAGGAAATACTGTTATTTCTTCACATTCTATGCCGTATGTCAGCACAAGATCCAAAGTATGAAGATGAGAATGCGTGGGACTATTCACATTTTGAACAAAGCCAATAGTGTCTAAGATAGCATTAAAGGCTGCTCTTAAGCTATCGCCTTCAATGTCAGCATGGATGTTAAAATCTCCCACTATGATGACCCTGTCAGTATTTAATACCAAATCAGAAAGGAACTCTGAAAACTCATCTAAAAATTCAGAGTAAGGACCTGGTGGACGATACAAAGTTACAAAAAGAAGAGGTTTTCTTGCCTTGAAATTTGGATCAGGGAAATTAAGGGTTAAATGTTCAAAAGAGTTGTAGGTATTAATTGTTTTGGGAGTAATCAGTAAGTCAGACTGGAAGATTGTTGCTACTCCTCCTCCTCGCCCAGAACTTCTGGGGATGTGAAAATTTAAATAGCTTGAAGGAGTTGCCTCATTTATGCTCACATAATCCTCTTGCTGCAGCCAGGTTTCTGTAAGGCAAAACAAGTCAATGTGATTATCACAAATCAAGTCATTAACTAGTAGACTTTTAGAGGAAAGCGATCTTATGTTAAACAGACCGCATTTAATTGTTTTAACTTTTTCCCCAATTGGAGTTATTTTGATTTTAATTAGATTATCATGATTTACTCCTTTGGGAATCTTTGCTAATTTATTAGATTTTGGTCGTGGGCAAGACACTGTCTGGATGGAGTAAAGAGTGGGTAACAGTAGAGAAGCTGCAGAGATGTGTGTTAAACTACAACTCTGCTTCCTGGTCTGCACCCTGGGTGGTCATATATATGTATAAATATTAGGGGTGGAACGGTTCACAAAATCCACGGTTCGATTTGGTTCACGGTTTCGTGGTCACGGTTTTCGGTTTGGTTCGGTATATGTTGATTGTTAGGAAAATCTATTATGTCTTGTATAGTTAACACGTGTTGTACAATGCTTGCACACTGTTGCACTTTTGTCCACAACTTTCTTTCCACCGTCATCGTAGGTCACTCTAAATGCAAAGTGGTCCCATACAGCAGACCTATAAAGTGCTGCTGGCGCGTCTTCCAACTCCTGTTCTTTCCCACTCGCCATTCCGACACAATTCTCCACAACAACTGATTTTCTTCTGCTACTCTGCTTCGCTTCTTCTTCTTGTTTACTACTGCTGGTTGGCTTTGGTCGCAGTACCGCCACCTTCTGCTCTGGAGTGTAAACGCTTCGCCTATGAGAAAAAGGAGCAGCGCATGAACCGAACAAAACACACGCGAATCGGACCGAGACAGTCGAACCGAACGGTTCGGACGGTTTTCATAAACTGTTTTAAATAAATCTTTTGACATTGTAAAAGCTTATCGAAACAATGCCACAGCGAAGGCGTGCCATAATCAAAGCTAAAGGCGGTCCAACAAAGTATTAGAGTGAATGACCTTTTTTTTTTGGTGGGGACTTTTTTTTTTGGCCAGGCAGTGTATATATTCAAAGTAACATAAAACCACATGTACTGCTTAGGTGTGTTTGACTGTGGAGGGAGCTTATAGCACAAAATTAAACAATAATACAATAAGATTTTTAAAATAATTTTTAATTTATAAGAGCAGTTCAATCAAAAACCAATTTAATCTGCCTGATCTTTGCCCACTGTTTTAATCCAGTTAATCTCAGTGAGATTAAATGTATAAAGTTTTCAAAAGTAAAAAGCTTCTTTATGATCCTCATGATGTCACCTTATAGGGTTCTAGTCTAAAACCCAAACCCACTGATTATAAAGAGAAACAAAACTCTAGCGTAGAAGGAGAAGCTGAGAGGCCATGTTGTAATGCAGTGTGACAGCTGAGGAAAAGATCATAGGATGCATTTACAACAAGACATGAAGAAGGCTAGAAGGCTGTGTGATAAGATGGAAGCATTTTTTCCTTGACCTTGTTCAGATGTTTATTTTTTATTTTTTTTTATTGAAACTGATATAGCATTTCTTATTAATGTGACATGTTAATCATATAAAAGGAGGAAGAAGAAGCAATATAGACTCTAAGAATCAGCCTAAAATGATCAGCCAATCAGGGATCATTTAGACAACCCTGAACAACCCATTGCATTTTATTCTTAAAAGTGGAGAGGGCGGGTCTTTTCAAAAATCCTCCACTATACCTTTAAAATAATAATTATTGGCCTTAACAATCCGTATCGGTCGATCTCTAACCTTTAAAAGAAGGTCAGGCCTGCCAACATCCTAGCTTATTTGGTTCTATGAGGTGAAGAGGCTGAATCTGCCCTCTGCCTACATCCCCCAGAATGCTCTGCAGTTCTCCATTAGAGTTCAGTGAGGCGTCACCAAACCTTTTAATGCTTAGTGCTACTTTATGGTCACTGAGTCATAGGAAGGGTTACCAATACTGTCCTATGAACTGCAGGGGTCAGCGTTCACCTAAACTTCATACAAAATAAATTATTGTTTCTTTTAATTTTTAATTTTCTGTTAGATTTTGTGTCATTTTAAAATCTCTATAATGCAACTATGATTGAAAAACAAAAAAACACCATTATTTCAAACTTAGCCCACTCAGAAGACGCTGAGGGCCCCTCATGTGGTCCTGGAGGGAGCCTCTGACCCCTTGTAAAGAGCATCAGTTGTATATTCTATTCGTATTGATCGGGTGTCACAATATACAGCATGTTCTGCTGAAAAACATTAATCATTTTCAATGGACACATTTGATTTCAGTTGAATAGATGATTAATGTTTAAAATAAGAAATCAAGCTTCATAATCTTAATTAAAGTGGATAATATCCAATCATCTTATTTTAAACACTCCTTCCATTCGCATATAATCCTATTTAGCTGCACAGATTAAGGGTAAATACACTACATTTAAGAACTTTTGACATCTTTTAGATCTGTTTTTGTGAAGTATTGTTTTATTACCTCATCCTGCTTCATCCTGTCGGAGCTTCTTCTTTCAAACGCTTCCTGTTATGAACGGATATCTGTGAAGGGATCAAAGGTTGGTATTACGATTGTCATATTACTAAAATTTCAAAGTCAATATAGATACCTAGGAAAATATTCCACACTTGATACCATTGTTGATACCATGCAGCTAAAAGATGACAAATAATTAAATGGAATAAAAAATTATAATAACAGAAGAGAAAACTCTTTTATTTTCAATCTGGTCAGAGAACATGTAGTTCGATTAGTGTGTAAAAAGATGGAACACAAATAACCTAAATATATAAAATAATCTGACAATATTTTTAATGTGTAAATAATCCATAAATATAAAAATGAATTAAAGGAAGAATATTCAAACACTTGTCTTGGGAATCGATACCACTCCTCATTAGAATCTCTTCCAGATATGGCGTTTAGTGGCGTTTAGGATGTCGATATTTTTGATTGCGATATCGCTCTGAAACATGGGGGGTTCTAGACAGGGGCTAACGGGGGCCAGTGCCCCTGTAGGTCATGTCCTGGCCCCTGTACTGAAGACATAATACTCATTTTCTCAGTTTTCATCTGCTAAATGTTTTTTTTTCAAAAAAAAAAAAAATACTTGTTTTTCTTGAGTTATAATTAAGATTTTTTTTTTTTTTGAAAAAGGTAATTTTAACTTAAATTTTGTGGAAAAAAAGGTCAAATTCCTAAATTCTCAATTTATATTTACCTAATAAGTCATAGGATTTTAATTAAACCAAATTTATTAGAAATTTAACTTCTTGCAGCTCTCTTAATATATTTGAATCCCTTGCCCTTTTTTTTATGTCATGCTTTTCTAGGCCCCCATGAAAGCATGCTGGCCCCCTCCTGGCTCCCTCCTGGCCCCCTGGGACATTTGGTCTAGAGCCGCCACTGTTCTGAAACCTAAACCTGCTTTAAACTTTTCCAGAAATCCTCTGCTGTGGTTCTCTGTCGTTGTTATGCTGTTTATTCTCCAGCAAACCTCTGAGGCCATCAAAGAACCAGCCGAGTTATGCTGAGATAAAACGTCTCACTGGTGGATTTGATTAACAGTCTGTGGTGGTAACAGGAGAAAAAGTGAGAAGGATTATGGGGTGTGAACACTTTTTTGGTGTTTTGTACATCTGTTCGTCGTAACCTTTTCTCTCTGTGGATTAGTTTTGTTTAAAGTCCAGCCGGTTTCATAGTTGCCTATGTTGTTCCTCCTGTCAGCACAAACCTGACGCTGCGCTCGGATCCTTTGCAGAAACTCAGCTGAAAGTTCCCTGAGCAAAGCGACAAACATCATTAAGGACTTCCTGAAACAGAGGGAGGTGACCAAATTTAGACCGTACGACGTCCAGGATCTCCTGCAGCCTCTGATCTCAAGCCAACTTCAAACACAGTCTGCAGAGCAGGTGAGGAGGTCTGAACTTCTGAGTCTTAGAAATATTTTGCTGTGTAGAAAAAACAGCATAAAAATGTGTCAGTATTGATATGAAATTGCAAACTGGTTTTCCTCTTATCATTTATATGGAGTGAATTATGTTCCATTATTGTGAGGCAAGTAAAAAAAAACAAAAAAACAGGGTTTGTAAAGCACAATTTGAAAAGAAAAAAAAAAAAATAATAATCCAGGAAGGAAAAATCTTCTTAATCAAAAAAGGTTTTAAAAAGTAACCTTGCTGATTTCTCAGATTGTCTTTTTTTATTATTCTTTTTTTTTTAAATCAGATTTTATATTTTCAAATTTTTTCAGATTAAGTTTTAAGAATATAATTCTTTTCAAATTGTGTTGAATAGATGGCTATCCATCATCCATGACCTTTTTTTTCAAAGGATTTTTTTAATCAAATTTTATATTTTCAAATTCTTTCAGATTTAGTTTTATGAATATATATTTTTTTCAAATTGCGTTTAACAGATCGCATTCCACTATTGTTCACTTCAAACGCTCTCTCTTCACCAATTAAAAATGTTGTTGCTAACGCTCATGGGGAACAACAGAAATTCGTCTTTTTACTCCCCAATCCACAGGAAGGCCTGCCGCCAGAAGCGGAGAGAAGGTGATGTGTAAAATGCAATTTGAAAAAATCTGGAAAACACTTTAAAAAAAATGAAAATAAAATAGAAAAGTATCTCTCTAAACCTTTTTTTTTAACAAGTTATCAAAAGTTTTATTTCTGGATTGTATTTTTTCTTTAGCTTCCATTTACAAAAACATGTTACGTCCTTCCAACAATAATGGATTTCCAGCAGACCAATAGAAAGACATCCTCGCTTTTCACTCCAGAAGAAGCCCCGCCCCCAGAGGTGAAGAGAATGTTATCTAGAAAACCCAATTTGAAAAGAAGGCAGGTCATGAAAAATCAGAAACAGAGAAATCTGGGGGGGGGGGGGGGGGGGGGGGGGGGGGGGAATAAAGGAAAACAAAAATAAAGACAAAAAAAAAACATTTTTTTTTTTTTTTCATTTACAAAAGATGTTATGCACTTGCAACAAATATGGACCACAATTCACTCCATAGATGTGCAGGAGGGATAACCTGAGTTATCTGCTGGAACTTAAACTGTTACATTAAAACATTTAAACAAAAAAACTGCATTTTAGGAAGGTAATACCTTTAAAACGTTTTTTGATGAAGAATTTTTTTAAAGTTTCAGTTTTGAATTTTATTTTTATTTTACTTTTCATAATGGCTCCATTAAAGGCAGTATTTCTCTCCTGGTTGCGGTTTAGGAGGCTGTTGCTGGTCCGTCCGGATGCCAGCGGCTCTGCCAGCTCCTGAAGGAGGTCCTGCAGGTCCTGCAGAACGAAGGCGTGGTTTACCGTAAGGTCAAGTCCCAGGATGAAGTGTATACTGTAAGAAACCATGCTGGGGCCTTATCTTTAATTTGGGTGGAATTCCCTGAATGTCTGATGTATTTTCTGCTCACCAGGTGACCACACAAGACAAAGATCTGCTCATAGCTGTCAAAGATGTCATCAGGGAGGATTCAAAAAGAGAGAAGTGTGAGCAGACTTTCCTTAAGTAGTCGTTATTTGTCGACATTTTTCAGGATTTTCCTCTATGTTCTCCACATGTATCACTGTTGCACCTAGATGCAGAGAAGGGCTGCCACGTCCTGCACATCCTCTCTGCCGTCAGGCAGCGCTACAGCCTCAACTTGAGCAAGGCAGCTCTGGAGCTGGTCCTGAAGACGCTGGAGTGCGACAGTGACATCGTCAGCACCAGCGACAGCCACTACGTTGCGTTCTAACAGCCATGGCCCGGAGCTGAAAATGGAGAAGGAATCATATCAGCCGGTTGCTGATGAATCAGTGGTTCAGATTGATAAGGCGATTCAGATGTGTTAGAAATGTTGTACAAATGTTAGAAAATAAATAAACAGATGGCCGGATCAGCTTGTTCTGACGCCCCGAGGCGGGAAAGCCTCCTGTGTTTGTTAGGCTTCACTTCTTTGATGCTATCAGAAATATGTGCAGCTTTAAAATCAGTATTTTTTTAATCTTTTCTGGGGAAAAAAGTGGTCAAGAAGCATCTCTCTCTATCAGAGGCCCCCCTCCTTTTCTTCCTCTCCCTCCTCACGTCCATCTGTTACCTCCTTATAAAGCTGTCACAGAAAAAAAACATGAACATTGAAGCCCTGAACATTAAGGATGGTTATAATTATTCCTAACGTCAATCTGATGCCCTGACAGCTTGTAGAACCTCCTGCAGCAGCCAGCAATCGCAGTAGATTTCTGTCAGACTTTCTCACTCGTCATAAAGGAATTTGAGCTCACTTCTGTTTCTAGAGCTACCTGCATGTTGCCCAGCTCTCCATCCCTCCACCACTGTGCCCCTCTGTTCTGATACAGTATGCAGTTTGCTGCAGAGCATTTGGATCAAACATCTCACCTTAAAGGGAAATGCCGGGTATTTTTTCACATTGGGCCCTTGATTTTACGTTATTGCATCATGTTTTGTGTCATTTGGAGCTGTTCTGAAGATATTCCTTTAGGTTATATCCAAGTAACGTCTTCCTATGGGCAACGACTTGAAGGCACAAACTAAACTGTTCATAATTTATTCTTTATGGTACGCCAGCATCACTGTCCCCCAGAGATCCGCAGGTATATTATTTCTATTTCTATTTTTTTTTTTTAAACAAAGCGGCGTGAATATGACATCATCCCTAAACCTCCAAATGACACAAAACTCATATGGGTGAGAAAATCAGGGGCCAAATGTAAAAAAAAAAAAGGAAGTTTCCCTTTAAGGCTGGTCTTCCAGAAAGCTTATGTTTCATTACGTAATGACAGCTAACAAATGAATTATTCCCTAAGGGAGAAAATGTATTCATGTATCGGTTAAAGGTGCATATATGATAGTTTTAAAATGTAAACAGTTACTCGCTCTGTTTGCACATAAAGGTCTTTCTAATGTTCATTTTGATCTTTTACTTTTTTTTTTTTTTGTAATAAAGCTCTCTATATATTTGCCAAAACCGCAGAATTACATTCATGTGAATCAGTTTAAAAGTTGCTTTTTTTATAATCACTTTTTGCAATTTGGTTTCTAAATATTCTTAAAATCAGTGTCTTAAGTGCCATGGTTCTGCAAATATTGATGCACCCCTAGATCATAGGGCTTTGAGTCTAAATTAAATATGAGATTTGAATATAAATAGTTTCACAGTCACTGTTAAAGCCTGTGTACACCTGATAGCCTTTTTACCATACAGAATTACCCGACTAATTTGCATTACCAGCACTTTCCTTTCATGGGGCTTTGGTCACTCAAGCGACTTTAGTCGGGCTCTTGGAGGGGGCGGGGTTGCTAGGAACAACAAAACAAAACGTTAGTTTCAACAAAAAGAAAAACGTCGGTTTTAAGATGGCGGGATGGGTGGACTTAACAAGCCAGGGTGTCCACCCATCAAGCCATCTTTAAACCTACGTTTTTCTTTTTGTTGAAAACAAACGCAATGTTTGTTTGCTGTTGTCCCATTTGATGAACCATCCTGGATGAGCTGCACTACCTGAGCCAATTGTTTAGGTTTGTAGAGTCCATCTCATGCTACCATTATTGGGAAAGTACCACCAACATTTAAAAGTGACTAAAACATCAGCCAGAAAGCATTGGAATTAAGAAATGGTCTGTGGTCTCCATCTACAGAATCACTCGCTGATTGCCAATAATTTCCAACTGTTGTCTATTGGACTTCCTGGACAGTTGATTTCACTTAACTTATATTGTGTCGTTTATGTGTTCCCTTTACTTTGAGCAGGTTATCTTCCAGCAGGAGGAGGAAAAGTTGTTTGCATGTTAGGCTGCGTTTATGATCGCGCTCCAACTGTCAAACTTTAAACGTTGGACCCAATATTCAAAGCAGACAGATCTGGATTAGTTCAGAACTAGTCTTTATTGAACACTCAGCATGCGGCTACTAGTCAGCTGGAGCGGATCAACCGGATCCTCTGTAGAGTTAAAAAGGTGAGTGGAATGAGCAATCAGGCCAGCCACCAGTGCCAGGATCATGACACCAACATGTGATGTTGTTTCCATTTTTTGGCCACCATGTTACTATGGTAATATGCGTGATTGTCCTTGTCTGTGGCTTTCAGTGGGGCTGATGTCTGGATGCTGTGAGCTCTGTTCCCAGAGTCAAAGTCCTTTCCTGTATGCAAAACCAAGGCGAGTAAAATGGGATTCTGATTGTGTTGTTAGCCAAGGTCAGCTCAGGGGATGTTAGGATCTAGGATGATGGAGGAAGTTAGTTTTTCATTTGCAGAAACATCTGCACAACGCCGTCAACTCACAATCAGCCTGAAGCATTGTAAGCTATCAGGCTCCATTTTCCATGTTAGAATCGAGGCAGTTTGAACCTCAGTTTAAAACATGTAACAAGCAAAAGAAAACACTAATATCTGTGGGTAGCACTGCTGCCTTGCAGCAAGAAGGTTCTGGCTTTGATTCCCGGCCCGGGGTCTTTCTGCATAGAGTTTGCATGTTCTCCCTGAACATGCATGGGTTCTCTCCGGGTACTCCAGCTTCCTCCCACAGTCCAAAAACATGACTGTTAGGTTAATTGGCTTCTCTACATTGTCCTTAGGTGTGTATGTAAATGGTTGTTTGTCCTGTTTGTCTCAGTGTTGCCCTGCGATGGCCTGGCTACCTGTCCAGGGTGGACCCCGCCTCTCGCCCGTAGACAGCTGGAGATTAGCACCAGCACCCCTCGTGACCCCAGGAGGGATAAACGTGATGGAAAATAAATGTATGAATGTACATGGAATGTGTTCACTTTAGAAAAATAAACAAAAACACTTGATTAAAGAAAAACATTACATTATATCAATGTAATAACAAGAAATGAAAAACACTCAGAGAGAAAGAAACACATTTTTTGGTCCAATATAACTTTGGAGGCATTAATGCTTATACTGGCTCTTTTTTAGTTTATAAACCTAAATATAATTGTTAACTAGGCTGATTAACTTTTTAACTTTCAATTAGCTTTGTACCTTTTTTTTCTTAACTTGTTAACTTTTTTTCAAGTGAATTTACAGAATTATATCATTCAAGGGCTCATCTAATTGGTCAAATGCCAAAATAAGATGTACAGCCATGTAGCAGTATCTTTGCTGAATGGATGGATATACAGTAGATCTAGTGCTTCTAGATCTCACTGAGAGACGGGGGGGGGGGGGGGGGGGGGGGCTCTATTTGTAAGGGGGATGCAAGTGATCAGAAACGGAACCTTGCCCTATAACGGGTTAAACAGCTCTTAGGTTTTCAAACACTGACAAAGATATTACCATGAGAGCACCGGGTTTTCAAAATAAAAGTTTGACTAAGTGCATTGCATCGTTTGTCCGCTGGGGGTCAGTGTTGGGTCATTAGTCCACGCAGAGTGGTGAGCTCTGATTGGTCGCCTGTGAAACATCTGTATTCAGTTCCAGTGGCTCGTGTCTCCGGCCAGAAAGCAGCAGCTGACAGAGAGCTCGGTGATCAGGCAGGAACATGCCGCTGGGCTCCTCCGGATGTTTGGATCCTCCTGCTGCGGGTTCGCTGACAGGAGAACTTCTGGCGCCCTGAAGGAAGACAGATGAATGAGTCAGGATTAGGCTGCAGCTCGGTCACCATCCGCCTATTCCTCTGGGTGTTTTCTTCCCTGGATCCAGCCTTCCTGGATCTACCGTTGAGGATCCAGGTCTGCAGACCGAGGGAGGGCTGCAGACACAAAGAGGCTCACCTCTAACCCCCCCCCCCCCCTCAGTCTGTCTGCTCATATATCCCACCATTGAGAAGTTTCAGTCCATTTCCTCTGGTTGCATCGGAAAAGCTGGGATGCTGTGATTAGTTTTCATTCTGAGGAGGAAGCAGATCCATCCGGAGCGTCTTCATGCAAAGCCTGTGCAGGATCAAGATGCAATTCCGGACGGTGCTGGACGTGAAAGTTGTGGACGTGGAGAAGAGGCGGAATCCGTCCAAGCACTACGTGAGTCCTCCTCATGCTTTTCCGCCCCCTGGTTCTGTTCATACGAGGTGTGGGTCTGTGGCCTGTCCGCGGGCGCAGCGAGGCACCTGAACGCACCATTTGGTCTGCAGCTGAGGGGCTGCAGGCCAGGCTGCAACACACCTGCTCAGGAAGAACAGACAAGCCCCACTATAAGAGGAGAACAAGATTAGGGCCAATGAAGAAAAAAATAAATAAATAATATAATTGATTTTTAAAAATATTATTTCAATTCAGTTTATTTCTATAGCACCAATCCACAACACATGTCATTTTAAGGCACTTTACAGTTCACCAGATCATCCAGTGAGGTTGATTCATAGTTTTCTAGCTAAGGAAAACCAGCTGATTGCATGTTTCATATGGGAAAAAGGTCACAATTCTGACTTTAATCTCAGAATTCTCACATTTTTTTCCTCATACTTGAATGAAATTTAAAAATTAGTTAACTTTTCATTACATTTTCAGTGACCCTAATACTCTTCTGTACCATCTACATTAAGGTCCGAATTATGATATTAAAGTCAAAATTCTGAAATTAAAGTCAGTATTCTGACTTTAATAAGTCAGAAATAAGTCAGAATTCTGAGATTAAAGCCAGAATTCCGACTTTAATAAATCAGAAATAAGTCAGAATTCTGGGATTAAAAACAGATTTCTGAGATTAAAGTCTGAATTTTGAGAAAAAAGTCAGAATTCTAAATTTAATCTCAGAAATCAACCTGAGAAATAAGTCAGAATTCTGACTTTAATCTCAGAATGAATTAAACCGGAGAAATAAGTCAGATTTCTGGGATTAAAGTCAGAATTCTGAGATTAAAATCAGATTTCTGAGAATAAAGTCTGAATTCTGAGATTAAAGCCAGAATTCTGACTTTAATAAGTCAGAAATAAGTCTGAATTCTGGGATTAAAAACAGATTTCTGAGATTAAAGTTAAAATTCTGAGATTAAAGTAAAACATTTTGAGATTAAAGTCAAAATTCTGAAATTGAAGCCAGAATTCTTGAGATTAAAGTCAGAATTCTAAGAAAAAAGTCAGAATTCTAAATTTAATCTCAGAAATAAACATGAGAAATAAGTCAGAATTCTCACTTTAATCTCAGAATGAATTAAACCTGAGAAATAGGTCAGATTTCTGGGATTAAAGTCTGAATTCTGAGATTAAAGTTAGAATTCTGACCGTTTTCCCCCCATAATACAGTGAAATACTATTTAAAAATCAGTTTACTTTTTTTCTTCTTCAGTGGCCCTAATCGTCTTCCATACCTCTCTGTGGTTCCCCAGCTGGCAGGTTCACTCATATCTAGCCTTGTCCTGTCATGGCTGCAGCTCATAAACCATCATCATAAAACCTGCTGATGGGCTGCAGTCTCTCTGCTGGCTATCAGGTCTGATATTGTTGTGTTGTTGTGTGATCCTGAGAAGAATGACATTTTTTACCCAAAATAAGAATTAAAAAACAATAAATAAGCTGGACGGTTAGAATTATTCTACAGTCTCATAAATGGTCCAAGAAACCTCCTGACTTTGTTCTGTTTGGAAGCCATGATAGGACTTTGCAACATCCTTCCTTGATGATGGGCTTATATAAAGCTGGTTAAAAGGAAGAGGAACCTGCTTATGTCACAATGTGTCTAATCGGTTGCTTTGGTGCATCATGTGTGTTCTGGGGAGCCCACAGCATGACATTTTCCTCCTGCACCGTTTCCCGTGTTAAGATGTAGGGAGGTTTTCAAAAGTTACCACTGATGTCAGTTTATTGAGTTTACTGAAATGTTGCTTGAGTGAATGGAGAAAAAAAAATCCGGGGGAAGCAAAACAGTCCACGGTCCATAATACTTCCTCTACCGTGCTTGAATCTCATCACGATGTTCTGGGTTATTTATTGACCTCGTACTCAGGTAGCCACCACTATGAATGTTTGCTTTGTGGTTCTTTGGATCTTCAAAGCTTTTAAAATAGATTTGTAACTCTTCCCAGGCTAACAGATGAGTGACCTTTTATCCCAATTGTTGCTCAGTTATGACACAGTAGTTCTTTTTTTGCGATTAGTTTTCTTCAACCCTTAATCAGTTTTTGGGTCTGGCTGTACAAACCAAAATAAAAACATTATATATTATAATTGTAATGTCTAAAAACATTTAGACATGAAATCCTGATTAAAAACTGCTTTTGGTGTTTACCCAGGTTATGTTTAAGTCTGTCAAACTAGCAACATCAGAAGCAATATTATAATGGAGAAATCGTCGGCGCAATTCAATCCTTTTTTTTTACATTGCTGCTCATTTACAGCACGTTTCGTTTCAAAGCACAAACAGTTTAGTTAATGAACACAAAGTCAATTTCAGTTCTGCAGCAATCACCTCCCATTTAGATTGCATGGATTGACTATATGGAGTAAATTATGTTCCATTATTATTCCAAGCAAAAATTGTACTTGAAAATGGAAATTACATCCATCCATTGTGTCCTGTTTATTCCATCAGGGTCACAGATTCTATCTCTGGCCGTCTCTGGGTGAGAGGTCATCAGTTTATCACAGGGCAACACAAAGACGCACAACCATTCACACTCACATCTTACAGTCATGTTTTTGGACTGTGGGAGGAAGCCAGAGTACCTGGAGAGAACCCACACAGCTCAGGGAGAACATGCAGAAAAACCATCTTGCTGCTAGGCAACAGTGCTACAAACTGTGCTGCCGTGCAGCCCGCTGGAACTCATATTTGAAAGAAAAAAATTTAATTTAGAAAATGAACTTTTAACACTTCTCAATAAAAATAAAAAAAGGTTTTAACTTTCGTGTTATTTCATATTTAATTGTTTTCTTTTTATGTTTAATTTTTTTCATTTTTTTAAACTGATTTTATATTTTCAGATTTCTCTATTTCCGATTGAGTTTTACGAACCTTATTTTTTTCGCGTTGCATTTTGCGGATCCCATTGTTTTTCGTTGAGGGGGCGGGCTTTCCTCTGGAATAGGGAGCGGCAGTGCATTTCTATTGGCCTGTGTGGTCAGCATTTTTTTGAGGTGAAGAGAATGTGATCTGTAAAACACAATTCAATAAGAATGGGATTCCTTGAAAAAAAACAATTAAAAAAAAATAAAATATAATAAATTTCAATATAAAAAAACCTAAGAGAACACCAAATTCCTTTCAAATTATTTTTATTTTTCTTCTTTTGTTCATGGTTTGTGTTTTCTTTGCTTGCAACAATAACGGAACAAAATTCACACCAAACCTTTAGAGCACTTCAACGAAACTGGTCAATGAGCACAAATCCAGAGTCCAAGCAAGACTGAAAGCACAGGTCAGGAAAACAAGCAGAAATCAATGAGCTTTGCTAACTATTAATCCTTGCTGACTTTTGGAGGAGGCCAAGTTGAACACGTCTCAGCTAAAAGCTGTCGTCAGCACAGAATAGGGAGCGACAAATATATGCCCAGGCCAGAAAACAGCTTAGCCAATCAGACGCAGATCAGGGGAATAATCTGAAAGGAAACATCTGTGTTTAGCACAGTCAGAATTAAATCAACAACCTTTTGAAGGTGAGTGGAAAGGAAACTCCCCTTTAACACCAGAACCCGGCTCAACGTGAGCATCCATTTGTATTTAGAAAACAGAGCAGACATGATGATGAACGCTTATTTCTTCATCTATAAAAGAAACGTTACTAAAGATTAAAGGGGTCATAGAATGGAAAACTGAGTTTCCCTTGTCATAGATGATGATAACGATAGTTCAGTGGGCGAAATGGATGTACAGAGAAGTTCTAACCAAATCGACACCTCCTTTCTTTGCAAATCTCACAATTGTTTGGATACGGGCGTATCCAAATGAAGCCCTGAGTTGACCTTAACTCTGGGATGTTGATATGGTTCTGCACTTTGTCGCGCCCCGAAATTTACATACAGACAAGCCCGCTGGTTCACGGCCCAAGGGAGGTGAGGGATATGAAGTGTCGACTGCGGACCTCAGCAGAGAGCCATGAGCTGCCCGTCCTCAGCTGGAGGAGGGAGGCTGGGGAAGCAGGGGGTCACCTGTGTCCAGGCTACCGTCACTGGGTCGGGTTTGGTCACTCCATCCTCGCTGGCTCCCTGCCCCCATCCAACGGGGTTCCTGGACCAGAGCTGACGGCTCGGTTCGAGCGCCCGTTGTGTTTCGACTACATGCTGCACTGTATTCGACCAAAATCCCCCCCCCAGACATTTTTTTGGTTAAAAAAGTAGAACATATCCGGGAGAAAAAGAGGACGTCTGGTCACACTACCATATAAACACTTTGATGTTTCAGTGAGTGAGTGCTTGTTGCTATGACGCTCAGCAAAGCTGCTGAGCAAAAACGCAGCACCAGAAGGCAGCACCACATACCCTATAGAATCATTCTATGACCCCTTTAAATAAACCCAAATACTTCCTGTTGTGTCTTTACTTTATTCCAGTTGTTAGTATATAGTTCTAGGTCTGCAAAATAAACTGGACCACAATGAGCAAAATGATGAAAGAGCCATGTTCCTCTAAAGTGCAAAATGATATTAAATCATGTAAAGAATTGTGAATGACTTTTGCCTGTTGTTGTTGCAAGCAAAGAATATGTATTTTGAAATTGAATATTGAAAAAACATACTTTGTTAACTGAAATATGAAAAAAAAATGCTATTCAGAAATGAAACTAGAAAAAACCATTAAAATCAAACAAAGGTTTGGGGATTAATTTAGATGGTTTTTCAGATGATATTTAGTTTTTCTTTTCAAATTACACGTTATTTTCACATTTTTTTAAATCAGAATTTATATATTTTTTTAAATTTCTGATAGAATTTTTTTCAAATTGCATTCATTTCAAATCAGAGCAAACAGAACAAAGATAGAGCTACCAGCTCCAACAGCCAGTCTCGCTTATTAGAAAGGAGCATTTATGCAGAAAATTCCAGCTGAGACGTTAGAGCAACATAAGACGCCTTAAAGATCACATCTTC